TTATTTTATGGTAATTCAAAGCTGTAATAGTTTTCTATTTCAACGAATTAATATTTATTAAATTATCAAGATCATTTTTTTATTCCTTCTCTCCCTTCCTCCCTCTTTCAATTATAAATTTGACTCAGTATTTTTTCTCAGTTCTCACTGAATCGATTTTTTTCAACGATATATCAAGAGATTACAAATAGTATCTAGTTTAGGATATTACTTTCAAAAATAGAAAAAATTGNATTACAAATAGTATCTAGTTTAGGATATTACTTTCAAAAATAGAAAAAATTGCCCTCGTTCCCGTAAATGGGGGAAATGTCCAAAAAAATTACAAATCCAAAAATCGCTAATTTTCGAAATTTTTTTTACTTTAAACTGCAATAACATTTTGAAAAATAACCAAAACAATATAATTTCTTTTTATCAATGCATGATGTCTTTACCTTTTATTTGGTATATTTTTTTTATAAATTTGACCCTTTACCTGCCTACAGGGGGGATTCAAAATGACAACTTTTTTACAAAAAATTTACTTTTTCCACTTAAATTTTTTAAATGTTCCAGAAATACTGACACTTTTATATATATCTTAAATTAAAGCTAATGTAATATACTTTATTATGGAAAAAAAAAATTTCGGACTTTATTTTATCTTCACAGTGAAAATGGCTTTCGAATGCTATTTTCGTGTGAAAATGTTCGATTTTGTATTTTACATTTTTAACTTTAAAATGCTATAACTTTTTGAAAAATGTATGGATCAACACAATTTTTTTATGAGAAATAAAATTTTTTAATAATCCCATTTTTCATTCAGGATATTAATAAGGAAATAGCACATCATGTAGTTTTTGGAAAAATCCACCAATTTTTTAAAATTAAACACTATCTAAAGATTTACATCGAAGTGTTTTTTATGATAGTGATTTTAATCACTTAGATATTTATATACCTGATCCAACTATGCCACGTTACCACTGTGCCGCAATCCCCCTGTGCTGTGTTTTTTTTGTCTGTCACTACTCTGAATCGATTTTCCTCAACGATATTACAAAATATCACAAATCGTATTTATTGTAAAACATTATCCTCAAAAATTGAAAATTTCTCCTAGTTTCCTCAAAAATTTACGATTTTTAAAATTAGTAATTTTTGTTATTTTTTAAAAAATTTTCTTAAAATTGCCATACCTTTTTGAAAAATTAACATATTTTTTTATATAAACACTTTAAGTACTTTTCTTTCTTTGGGTATATTTTTATTAAAAACTGACTCTTAACCTGCACACAGGGGGTATTAAAAATTGCAATTTTTGAACTAAAATTAAACTTTTTCAACTTAAGTTTTGAAATTGTTTCGGAAATACTGCGTCCTTTTAATATATGTTAAATTAAAACTTATGTTACATACTATAAATTAAAAATGAAGATTGTCCCATCGACTTATTTTCTATGTATTAATGGCTGTCGTAGTTAAAAAAACATGCTATTTTTGTGTCATTGTTTCAACTTTAAATTGCAATAACTTTTGTAAAATGTATGAATCAATGCAATTTTTTTATAAAAAAGGAGTTTATATAAGGATAAACTCCTTTCATCCGACATACTTTTTTTTAATTGGACCATTGCCCTTTATAAAACGGAGGTTCAAATCTTGTATATTTTTGTAATCAATAAAATATATTCAAGAATAATGTAAAATAGTTATATATAAATAAAAAATTAAACATAAAACAAAATTAATTAAAAATATTAAATTTAAGTTTTACAAAAACAAATGAGAAAAATCAAAATTATGTTTCTACAATAAAATGTATATAATTACAATACAACGGTTTAAACTTTACTTTTCAGTAAAATATTATGGCATCCGACAGCAAAAATAAAATAATTATATTGCATGTACATTGTTTCAAAAGTTGAGTTAAGTTTGTTGTCATTAGATAAGTATTTCTTGTTCATGTAGTAAGATCGCATGAAAAACGCATTTATAGAATCGTGTATTTCGTCGATATAATTGTGTTGAATTCCTATATTGAGGTCGAATAATTTTCCAAATTGTATCAATTAGAAAATTAATTGATCGGCATTAACTACAATTGTGGTTTACCTATAGAAAATATTAATTTACCTCGTTTTGACTTGTAGTTTTAGATATGTGCAGTGCTATGTTGAGAGCAATATTTCTCAGCAAATCAAAGAGTTTTTACAGCTTCCTTCGTAGTCTTTACAAAAATACGTTTTTGAGACTGTAAACTTCGTGTTTCTTATACGAAGGCTGCCCTATGGGGAATCATCAATATGACCTATGGCTTATATTTTTTTATCGTTTCTGCAATCTTGAAGAATTCTTCTTGTATAAATGTAATTTTGTCCTAGACTCCATAAATCTCTGAGTTTGTTTTGGCGAATTTTAATTTTTAGCATTGATATCCACATTGATTACTCGTTAGCTAATTGGATGATGTTTCTACCAGCACCACATAAAGGATCCTTTACGACGTCTAGACCGGGGCATCTTAACGCTATATGTGTGCTTAAGATCTCGGGACAAACGGAATAAAATTATTGTGAAAAAAAAAACGTTATCGTTTATGGTAAAATACTAAAATTTCCTTGTACATCGAATACTAGAGACACACGCGTTACCAACTGACCCATTGGTTACTACGACTATAGGACGATAAAAAAGGCTATTTAAGGTAGTTCAAATTTTTAAAGCCATTTTTTCCGTTTGAAAAAATTCAAAGTAGATGCAACTATATATTGATTTTAGATTAGATTCCTATAACTTTTTTGAAAATCGTTGATCCCATCACCGTAACCTCCAATTGTAAGTTAAAAATTAACCTATATCATTGGTATTATAAAAATATATTCTAACTAAAATAAAAAAACTTTTTAGGGTTTTAAGTTTCACAGAACAATAATAAGATTTAATCATGCTGATAAAACTAAAAAAAATTGAATTCGATAAGGCCTATCGTCGTCGTAGTCGGATAAGAGATGGACTCTCTTAGCGAGCAAGCACCAAGCTCGGAAAATTGCGCGCGTACGTCGATGCCTCTATAAAAAGGTAATAGACAGTCGGAGCAATCGACACTTGTGTTTTTCTTGCGACAGTGCTAAATATATTGTAAACATTGACGATTACGCGGAATATTTAAACGATGGCAGAAAAAGACTCCGTACTGAAAGAGACATCTCCGTCGATGTTTGGCAAACAACAAGAGGAAAAAAGAAAAAGGATTTTGGAATTGGTATCACCAGCAAAAAAAAATTCGAAGAAAGCAGAAGCAACTATGGAGAAAGCGATGTCGAGGAAACGGACGACGACTGTGGATCTTACTTTGGGAAATCTTCCTATTTCGGACGACGACTCTCCGGTTAGTATTTTTAAAAATAATTGTTCTGGTAGTTTTTACATTAATATTCGATGTTGTTAGATAACTGAGCCCGAACGAACAACGACAAAAGTTATTAAATGGTTGGACAACAGAATTAGTGACATGGAGAGAATCTCTCCTGAACGTTGTTCCGTGATAGAACAGAGCAAGAAAAAATTCAGTCCTTTTACGGCGGCGACATTGACATTATTAGCGAGATTACTGATTTTGTTCCGGAATCGAGTACGGAACTTCCTTATTCGACGACTCTATTGATTCTGTGGTTAACTTTCAAAGACACCCAACACCTACTCATCAGACTGTGGAAGAAACTGGAAACACCGAAATTATGGGCGGAAATAGAAAACGACAAGACGACACTGAAGGACAGTTTGCCAATCGTATTGGGAATGGCCCAGAAGAAACTGACGGTAAAGATTACATGCGCTGTTTTTATTATTTAGTATGTTTAATGCGTAATTGTTTTTTTAGGCGCGATACGACGAATTGCTGCTAGCGCAATTCGTTACAATACTCAAGACGATAGAGTGCGATATAGATCTTGGTTATTGGTGCCCGATGGATTTGGAAGACTACGCAGACTCGTTGCTGACCTGGTCGCCAATTTCCAACGTTCCAGAAACAGCCACGACCCGTCATCCGTCGTTGTCATTGCAACACACGACGAACACTTACACCTCGTGCACACCTGCACTAGTTCAAACTCATCTTGTAGGTGCACCTGGATCAAGAAAACGAGCGGCCTCCGAGAGTTCAGAAGATCTAAACTGGAAAGAAAAATATACCGAAATGACCTCAACGAACAAGATTGGAAAAATGTCCTGGGTTATTTCAGCAAATCTGGCCGAGTCTGCATATTCTGTTTCGTCGGAGGTCGAAGCGTCGGACATATGTTACGATGTGAGAATGTACCGGTAAGTGGATTTAACAATTTAATTATATCAATCACTGACGCGCGTTAATTTTTTTTAGAAAGCAGGACATAAAGCATGTGGAAAGTTCGGACTTTTGGAAACATGTATTTTTGAAAATAACGGGGACTTGCCGAGAGAACTCTCCACAGCACAAAATGATCAAGAGTTTAGCAGCGGACACTCTTGCAGAAATAAAACAAGATCCAAATTTCAAACGGGTCAAAAAACAAAAATGGGGAGGAAAGAATTTATTAAAGTAAAATTTAAAGAAATGTTACGTATGTTTCCGACTTGCCCCCTCGACATGATTTTCGAAACTCGCGAATTCGTTAATGAACCTTTATTTGACGATTTAAACGATAGATCGGAAATTTGTGTAAACGCTTTAAATAAATGGAAACGATTATTAATCACTAGACAATGGAAGATTTTCATAAGTTATATTCCATGGACGATTGCAGACCATACTTTAACGCGTATCAGTTTACGAATTATTCTAAATATTACTAAGTAGAATATTCAATGATACTCGCCAACGAATTATTGTTGTATCAATTTAATTCGGATATCGATGCTGTTCGGGATTTTTTACAGAACCTATACGACATACTTAATAAAAAAATTCCAAAATTGGATACTCTGTACATTGTTTCATCCCCATGCGCGGGAAAAAATTTTTTCTTCGATGCTGTCTGCGCTTTTTTTCTCAATTACGGTCAATTATATACGGTCAAAATTAACTTAATGATATAGTAAAGTTAACTAGAAAATTAAAATAATGTAAAGAAATAACATAAAATTCACTTCTATATTCAATGGAATAAGTATATAAATAATAAATTCATAAAATAATCAGAATAGTACTTATGCTATGTTTTATTCACCAGAGTAATGATGGCTGGAAACAGATATTAAAATCATTTTAGAATATAATTTTATTTATAATATAATTATAGAAACTTAATTTTATTTATTTAATTTAATATATTAACTTATATAATGTAATTAAAGATAAGCCTACTATTTTTTGAGTAAAAGTCCTTTACGAATTTAATATCTTAAAAATGTATAAAAGTTCTAAGTTAACTTGTAAAGTTAGCTTTATTATAATGAATAATATTTTAAACTAGCTATAACAATAGCATCAAAAGATAAACAAAAATACTAACTAGTAGTATGGTTGTAGTTAACTACTATAACTGAAATTAAAATTTAAAATACAAGTAAATTTTGTAATTCAGACACAGTTTAAAAACTACTCTACTGGCTGTTATCGAAGAGAAACTACCAATCAATACGTTATAGACTGAATAAAACAATGTAAATTAATTAATAATTCAGAATTTATTTTAACATTAATAGCATTATTTTTAGTATCAATGTTAATTATGTACAACTTAAGTAAGTATACATTTATATAAAAAACTAAAAAAAAAAATAATTTATATAATTTTTTTTTTTGTAATTTGTTGATGAACTATATTTTATTATGGTAAATGAAACGGAATAAAAATAAATACCATTTAATTGAAGCCTGGACATTTTAGGACTTAAATATAGGTTGATGCATTTTGGATTTAGATTGAATATGTGTTGACATTTGAATGCCGAATGGTTGTTTTAAGTATTTAATTCTCAAAATTTTGATAATGATAGATATAAAAAAGAAACACATAAGAGTCTATAATTTCTTGCGGAATTCTTTTGAGTAACACAAACGGATCTATAAATACCAAAATTATAAATTAATTTTTTGAAAATAATTTTATACAAAATAAATCATTTTTATATTAAAAAGTAATTATATTATTATAAAATGACGAAATATTTTTTGTAAACACTATTGAAACTTTAAAAAAGAATATATAAAAATAAATATTACTATGATAATTTTATAAGAATTCGTATGTTATTTTAAAAACAAAAATGAAAAATATTTTTACAGTAACGTGGTTTTGATATCTGCTTAATAGACTCAGTGTAGAAGGGTTACCGAGGAACTCCTTTAGGGTTTCTTGCCATAGACGCAACTAGGAAACATCAAAGTGATATCTTGTAATTTTTACCATTTCAGGAAAAACTGAGATAACAATAATGGAAAATTCACTGTGTATAATTGAATAATTCAATTTTATAATAAACCATTCTAAAACTATAGAAAAAATTATTAAAATAGCATTGTATGTATTTTTAAAAAAAAGTTCTATGATTATTTTACACAGAATTATTATACAATTGAATCATTTTGTTTAAATTAATTAAAATAAGAGATTATTTGATAACATTTTTTAGACTCTAAGTTTTAGTGTTGTAAGTTTGATATGATTGATATTAAAATATATTTTTAACATGAAAGTTTTTTTTAGGTCTTAAAATCTTCTTCAATATTAATGACACCATCTTGAAATTTTCTTATAACATCTATATCAAGTAATTTTATATCTTTAGAATATTTAATTTTGACGGAATTTTGTGGATAAGTTTAAAGAATGTAAATGTCCCAAAACTTTTTCAAATGCTTAAATAAAAAAAAAAATTTTTGTGCAAGTGGCTTTGGTCAAACTCTTTCAGTTTATTCATAATTTCAATTGGATATTCATAATTATCATTATTAAGGTTATTGCAATTTTATATATAAATAATCTTTTTGACTATGATCATTTTGGCAATAGGTTATTTTTTAGATATTTTGTAAAATATCGAAAAATGTTTCTATTTTTAAAGAGATATCTTCAATTAAATCAAATTCGGGTTCATTTTACGTATTGATAAACAAAATCGATGAGAGATGTGGGTTTTTATGAACAGATATAAAAAAAAAACACATAGTAAATACAATACCTTCTCAGTTTTACATTGAAGCTAAAACATGCCGATTGACTAAAAACGGTTGTTTATTAGACTCCTTAATGTTCAATATGATTAGGCGAACATGTTTATTTGTATATATTACAACATCACTTGTACATGCCTCTAAATATTTATTCATTCATTTAGTAATTAATTTCGCTGAAAATATTCACTTATTGCCGATTCTATTGATCTAAATAAGGTTTTCTACCTCTAAGATTGTTTTTTTATATCACTGCCGCGGCGAGTCATCGAACAAAAAAGTGATTAAATGAAAATTTTACCATTCATAATTTAAACAATTATTCAGGATTGAAAATCTCTTTAAATAAAAATTTTCAATTTACATGTGATTTAATTATTCAAAAATATGAAATTACTTTTTTTTATTAATTTTTCAATTTCATGAAACGTTTTAAAAAATCAATTTGTCAGTTCTTGAACATCGGCGATAATATGATTATAGCAATATATTTTGGTCACAATAATAATCAATGACATAACTAAAATTGTTTTTTTATGAGAATCATATTTTTAAAATAAAAATGTTAACTCCTATTTTTATGAAACTGCTTCAAAAAAGTCAACGAGCAAAAAGAAAAATAAGTCTCGAACTAAGAAACGTAATAAATTTCAAGAACTGCTAATCATTTTAGAAGATTACATTAGCCCGAGTGTTTCATTGACTGCAATCGTCAAATTGTATAATAATGGATAAATAAAGTACATAACAAGTTTTATTATTTATGTTGCTATGTGATCAAACAATTTTTAAAGCCTTAAAACTGAAGTTCTTTTAAGTTCGAACACTATTTCCATCTTTGAGTATACCATGTTTTTTCTTCCGTATTTTGACTTTGTTTGAATTTATGAAGTATATTACAAGGTTTTATTGCATACTGCTAATCATATTATGATTATTATATTATATTAAGTAGATATATTGGGATATGCGAGGTCAGGTCAACCGCGGAAGACGACAATGGGAAGATGTTATTTATTTTTTGCTAAACAAGATATTTCTTTGGTACGACAAAAAACTTACTAACATCTTTTTAAATATAATTTATGTGTACTATGATTTATAACGTCATCGATAATCGAATGAATTTCGATGACAATGAATTGTATGTAAAATCTAAAAAATATTCCATGGTAAGTTTCATATACAGTGTGATTTTTTGTTTTATTTTTAACATAAGCACAAATAACAATTCTGCACTCCGCTTTCCTGTAACTAAAAACTATAATAGTAGTTATCATCCTATCAAAATTTTTTTAATAATTATATATTTTAAAAAAAAAAATAGATACTCATTTAATTTTTAAAAGCTACCCCTAAAATCTCTCATAGGAATAATTTTTTCTTAGAAGTAACTTGATATTTACAACAGTTTATAAAAATGAACTAAATTTTAATCTATACGTTTTTATGAAAAAATCATTATTTGACAAACAAAATGGGGGGGAGTATACATAATAAAACACACTGTATATGTATATGTATTTTTAGAACAAACATGAAACAATATATACAAGGTCTAACCAAAAAGTATAGAAATTACCAAAGTTCACCTAGCAGCTTTGTCGCAATGATTTTGTATCTGTACATCATAAACTTTGATTTTTTTATGTCATACAGACTTGCCGAACAGAAAAAATGCCGACCAATAATTTAATTATACTAGTATAATTAAATTACTAGTACGGCAATCCTCTTTGTTAAAACCTTCGGTTATATTAAAATCAACATGTCGTTTGTAACGAATACTTACAGACATTCTACAATGGTCTAATATAAGAGAGAATAGCCTGTTGCCACCGTCTACAAACAATGACTATTTGCCACCGCCGTCAACCTAACACAATTAGCGCGTGCGTTATGTTATCACAACAATAATATCACAGCTGTAAACCACAAGAACCACGCGGCCAGTAGTTTAGCGGCGTACGCGTGACAGCACCGCCGTTGCTGATGAGGTAGCTGTCCATTGAAATAAAAAAAACCGAATGTTAGCGAATCACATAGTAATTCAGAGTTGAATTGATTTTGTTTTTATTATAATATTTATACATGAATTATTTTAACTTTATACCATATTTGAAATCGAACATTATGTACTTAGAAATGTCTCAAGTATTAAATTTCGAGTCAAACGTTGTTTTTATGTTTTGATTTTCAACTATTTAGTGTTTTATATCTAATGTGTAATCAATACGTTTGTTTAAATTGTCGATAATTATCCAATTACCAACTATATCGCCAACACAATAACGAGGTATTTATAAAATTGAATATCATATACCCAATTAAATTACCGATGCTTAACTATTAATTCAATATCTTATTATTTAGTGATGTAAGTAATTTGTCAATTTGTATTTAAATAACGTTACCGTTATTACATACCATTATAACAAAACAATAATAATTAGTTTAAATGTAATGATAAAAAAATATTTGCTATCAGAATTTTAGTCTAATTCTTTTTGTACGTTAGCGTAACAAAATTTGTTATGTATAGTGTATTTATATACTGTTATTTTATTTAAAGTATGTAAATTAATGGTAGAATGACCATCTTAATCTTATTAAGTAAACATTTTTCACATAACACGACTAACATTATTATTTAATAAGAAAACATTTATTATAAAACACATTTTGGTGTAATTTTTTTTTTGAATTATACAAATTGTTTATACAAATTATCCTCTGATATTAATTGATGGTAAATTAACAATTTATTATAATTATAATTTAAATTTCTTTTTTTTTAAATCTTTGATAATTTGATGACACTTTAAACAATGTTTTTAATGTAAAATATCTAAATAAAGTTGAGTATATTATAATTTCTCTATAATTAAACATACAAAAACTGATAAAATTGTTAAAATATAACGGTTTTATTTATAAAGTGATTTTCAATTAGTTATTTTACTAAAATTTCAAATGAAATTGCAATATATATTGATACAACTAAGTATACTCTACTCTAATTCTAATATTAAATAAAAAAATGACAGGATATTTTGATCCTAGTATGTAATTGTTTGTATTTTAAGCAATTTTTTTTTTTAATTATTTCACAATAATTATTAATTACTGCTACTGTCTATTTATTTCTTTTTTGTGCATGTACAGCAACAAATCAATTTGTTACTAAATTAGTTTACACACTTGGCCTCACTTAAAACAATTTTTAATTTAAAACATTATTATCATATGCTAAAAACCATTAAGTTATAATAATAGTATTACTATTACTAATAACATTTATTACAAATCTTAAATATTTGTTGAGATGTATATTAATAAATCTTATAAATATTCATGAACGACTTTTAAAGTAAATAGTAAGCTTTTTTTAATTTTGATTATCTTTTATAATTAAACAAACTTGTAGTTATTTACTTTACATTAGAGTATTTTAAATTTTATAAATAATAATTTATCGTCTTAAAATTATTGTATATTATTTGACAGTTTTAATTTAAATATATATTGACAAAAACAAACCTTCATTTACTATATCAATTAATATATCCTCTAATCGCCTTAAATTATAAGGAATCATTTTATTACTTAACGGTTGTTTAATGACTTCTTAGTCTACTTAATAGTTGCAAAGCACGTGTATTTTAAAGATAATTCAGTTCGTAAAAGAAGTCATTGTTCCGTTCAGTTTGATGAACTTACTAATCAGTCCATATGGTTAAATTAATAATATTACTGATAATGTAAAATTAAGATAGAGTACTTATTAATATATTCCAGCAACTGAACCTGAGGCAATTGTAAGCGTAACTTAATATTTAGTAGATACTGTTTATGAGGTCATAGGATTGAGAATACTTGA